AGACTGATTGGACACGTACCTCCACTCTTTCCTATTCTGAGCTAAACTTCGCATTTCCCTAAAACTAGAACAACCCACATCCTTAACTATTTGCGAACAGTAATCTAATCTAGGTCTGCCTCTACCCCTCCTAACTCCTGTTTCCGCCTCTAATATGTCTCTGACTAGACCTTCATGTCTGAGAAGGTGTCCTACCAACCTATCTTGCCTATTTTTTATTGACTTCCGTAGAGTCCTCTGTTCTCCTATTCTTTCTCATACCTCTTCATTTCTAACCTTTTCTACCCGCGTTATCCTCATCATTCGCCTATAACACCACACTTCGAAGGCTTCTAACCTTTTTACATTTATCTATTAAACAATGATGTTCTTTAATTCTCGTTTTGATAGATATTCCTGATTGGCCTATGTACAAAGCATCGCACATAGACTACGTAGTGCAAAATAGGGGGTAGAGGAGATCAGCCAGACGACCTATTACGTGGGGGATGAAGGTGGTAGCCGGTCAACTTTTAAGTTACGTAACAATTTCAGAATTTATACAAAACTGAATTACTTGAAAATTAAAAACCATTTTGTAGAATGCATGCGCTAAGTACAGGGGAGCAGTCAAAAATTGATGAATTTTAATTTACGTAATTTAAGTACAGCCCCTACAGAGAAAAATAAACAACCAACAGCTAACAGCCTCAACCTTCCTACACAATCTTATCATTCTGTTTAAAGTTGTTGTAGTCATTTTACAAAATGTCTACTGCTTTAGCAAAAAAATTTTTTTTGACTAAAGTTTCTCATATTGCACACGGTGCTACGTCATAAATTTTCAATAATAGTGTCACACGGCACTAAACTATTAGTCGGATTTAAATGAAAATTACGTGTGGGTTGTTCGTCCACGTTATACAATATTTACATCGGAAAATTTTGGTTGTATGTACGTAAACAGGTGCTGTAACGGATATACTGTATTTGTCATTTATGATGAGGAGTCCGATGGAATGGACGTCGTTGTGGTCCAGTTTTGACGTATGGACCGTGAACTTCTAAACAGAATTACAAAACCGTGCGACGCTTTTGTATTTTTAGGTTCATTCAAACAATATGACGATATAAAAAGACGTTCGACACAAAAATATAAATACATACATTCGAACAGTTGGGCGTGAGTCAACAACTGTTATGAACTAATCCGTAAACGTGGAAAAAAGTTTAAAAACAATTTAAATCTATTTAATTTAATGAACCAGCTACTGGCTTTCAATAAAATAGTGATGCCTAACAAGATAGATATTCAAAATTCGCATCCGTATCTTACATCAGAAGTTCCCAACTTTTTCTGGACCACCCCGACCCCTCTAACGATTAGATTAGTCCATAATATAAATACATAATTTAATATTGCTTATGGATACCTAATTTAACTGTGTGAATATGAAAACATGAAGAGGGGTTGTAAACCGAAGTACCTGTCAACACCTAGTTTCTTAAATTCAACTTACGTTGAATCTTTTTTCTTAAATTGTTTAATTTCCCCCTCAATATCAAATTATTTAGTCATTTAAAATAGGATTATGCTTACGAGATAATTTTTCAATGAGACTAGGGGATATTTATAGGGTGTTAAAACTCCTCAATATTGGATTATTATTTTGCAGTGGAAGTTTTTCTTGTTCCACAATAATTTTTTGTACTTCAGCCCTAAGAGTCATTTAAAGTAGGATTATGCTTACGAGATCATTTTTCAATGGGTCCTAGGGGTTATTTATAGGGTGTTAAAACTCCTCAATATTGGATTATTATTTTGCAGTGGAAGTTTTTCTTGTTCCACAATAATTTTTTGTACCTCAGCCCTCAGAGTCATTTAAAGTAGGATTATGCTTATGTGATAATTTGTCAGCGAGTCTAAGAATTATTTATATATAGGGAAAGTTATTCTTGTCGTACAATTATTTTTTATCAGCGGATCTGCTGTTGCTATACAATAACATTTATATCGCTAGCAATATGAAGTCCTAGAAAGGTAGGAAAAGGAAATATAGTTTTGAATTTAATAGCATTGAATTTATCAAAAAATTTCTACCTTTTACTAATCTACGATGTAACCAAAATATCGTATTTCAATCTATTGATAAACTTAGTCAACGTAGGAAGTGAAAGTGAGGGTGTTTGGACTTCATCCAATCTACCTATAGAAAGTGAAATTCAATAACTTCAAAACGTGTACAATGTATTATACATGTTGGGAATAGTCTTTTTACAAATAAATAAGTTTATGGTAACATATCGCAACAGCGACTCATTCAGTACCTGTTTAAAATACTAACTGAAAAAGTACAGTTCAAAAAATGTATTCAATAACGGCTAATGATACTAAAATTTAATTAAGGACTGTTGTTAACACCAACGCTCACGTAAAAAAGGCGAAAATTAAGTACTAATAGATACATACTCAAGTGCGCGAAAAAATATGACAAAATATTCGGTAAAATCACCTACTACATATAACGCTAAACTAGTACTTGTACACAAAATAGTTTTAAAGTTACCTGTGAAATGTCTACAAGGTTCCACGAAGTAGATAAATTACAAAAGGAATGGCGTAGAAAATAACGTTTTTTGGTTAGTATTAAAACTGTTTTTGAATTAAAGCTCTACTCGTTATTTTACTATTTAGAAAATAAAAAGAAAACTTGATCAACTTACGTCAGTCATGATAAAGACAGATACGTTAATTTTTGTCTGGCAACTATTACTTCGTAAATGGCACTTAACACTTAAAAAAGGCGCCGATGACTAAGCGTCTTCGACAGCAAGTTGCGATGTTCTCCAGGAAAAGGTCCTCCCGAATTAACCAGATCGCCACGTGACCGTGCACCTAGATTTACTTCCGGACCTTAAATATATCTGACCGGAGTGCTGGGGTGACTCGAAATAAACGTAAATTGCATAGTCGGGTTATGAAAAATGGTAAAAAAAAAATTAGAGATGTCCTGCAATTTACATTACGAAGCATTTTTGAATGAAATGCAAATTTCAAACTTTCCAAGGGTCCAGAAAACGCTTTTTTATCAACATTTTATGTCCTTAAGTACCAACGGTGCGACACTGGTTCATGAAGCGCCGCTAAGTATAACTCGATAAAGCAATAATTTATTCACCAAGGATTTTTTACTTGGCATCCTAAAATAAACGATTTTATAGTAGCGTGTGAATAGAAGGAGTCCGATCTATTAAAAAAGTAAAAAACCGCAAATGTGACTGATGAATTGTATGCAGATTGCGTCATCGCTTCTTCCAAAAAGCATAGCGTGAGTGTTTGAGCCTCTTTATAAGGAAAACGGAGGTTCAGGTGGAAAATTACGCGAATATCAGCAGACGCTATTAAAAACATTATCTTTCTTACTTTAGAAAATCAAAGAGATTTATTTTACGAATGATTTTCAACAAATTATTTTTGAAAACGATTCAAATAAAAATTACAACAAGTTCAACACTAAAAATATTTACCACCTACCTTTCGATGTCCTGATACATTACTATATCATCGACGTACCTGTGCTACAGGAATTTTTAAAAACTAAACCCTCCAATTAATTAAATTTGTAAAACATAAAATAACTGATTGAAACATTAATCGATTACAATTATTATTGTTAATAAATTTTAAGAATGCCAGTTAAAAATCAAGAATTCGTCATTACCTTGCGAAAATAGTAGAAAGTTTTGTTCAAATTTCTTCTAATTCACACAAAACGATTATTGTTAATAATTAATTATGTGTACTACAAATTGCATGTTTGTTTTCGAACTTTTCAGAAATTTGTCATCATAGTACCAATATACAGTGAATTTCGGGTATAATGACGACGAAGGGACCACTATAATTTCGTCATTATATCCGGAAGTCGTTACAGACAAAGATAAAGAGATGCAACCACGTATGTATAGTTTGCACCATTTTTCAATTTTGAAATGATTTCTGCCTTTTTTTTAACAGTAAATGTACACCTAGTGGTTATACTTATTCAAATGTTTATTGCAGTTGTTACTCGGAATATCACTTTGTAACCGAACTTAAACAAACGGTAAAAGTCACCTTTACTAACCTGTGTGGATGTAAACAAAAGATAAGAAAGCTCTTTGTATCTTTGGAGGTCGACTCGGGTCGTTATATCCACATAGGACTATTAATGATTCATTAAAAATAGTCGCTATACCAGAATTCGGCCTTACATCCGAAGTCGCTATAGCCGCATGAATTTTGTACTAAAGTATGCTTTAAATTCAATATTTAATGTCGCTATAGCAAAATGGTCGCTATAACCAATGTCGTAATAAATGAAATCCACTGTAATATTTGTTTATAATGAACTGTAACTTTTTCATTGTAACCTCTAGAACCCCTTTTGAAATAACTCATAATGTTACATAGGAAAAATTTGAAGACACCTTTGCCAAACTACTAAATTACACCTCCTTAAAACAAAAAATGTACAGGTATAGGTGATTACTTACCTCATCGCAAGACGCGCATCGTGGTTTGAGTGTTTCGGCGTAATGTCTTTCACAGAAAATTTGATTGTCCTTAACGCAATAGGCGAGGTCAACGAGGAGATCGTCACATTTGGTACATCGAAAACAGGCAGGGTGGTAAAGTAAGTTACCCTGACGAGGCGCTGCCACGCATGCCTGTTGAGTTGGAATGGATTTCGAACAACCTGCGCATGTGCTGGCAAGAGGGGCGGCACGACCGATCCCCACATCGAGGGCTATTTCGTTCCGTGCAGTAATAAAATCCTGAAAGGAATAAACGAAGACTCCTAGTAAAATTTCAAAGGATTAACCCCAATCCTTATGGATTATGACTCCTTCCTTGCTTTTAAATATTTTAGACAGTGATAGTGCCAAAACTGATCCCCACCCAAGGGCTATTTAATTTCGTGTAGTAATAAAATTCTGAAAGGAAGAAAGATGAACTCATAATAAAACTTCAAATGATTTTCCCCAGTCCTTGTGGACTACAACTCCCACCGCCCTTGTTTTTCGATATTTTAGACAGTGATAGTACTGAAACTGATAGATTGTACAATCGATTCCCACACCAAGGGTTATTTTACTTTGTACAATAATAAAATCCTGAAAGGAATATACGAGAACTCCTATTAAAATTTCAAATGATAATGCCCAATCCTTAAGGACTACGAACTCTCCATTGCTTTTAAATATTTTAGACAGTGATAGTACTAAAACTGATCCCCACACCAAGGGCTATTTTACATCCTACAGTAATAAAATCCTGAAAGGAATAAACGAGAACTCCTAGTAAAATTTCAAATTATTATCCCCAATCCTTATGGACTACGACCCCTCCCTTGCTTTTAAACATTTTAGACAGTGATACTACTAAAACTGATCCCCACACTAAGGGCTATTTTATTTCGTTGTAATAAAATTCTGAAAAGAAGGAACAGGGACTCATAATAAAACTTCAAATGATTATCCCCAATCCTTACAGACTACAACTCCTCCCACCCTTGCTTTTCAATATTTTAGACAGTGATAGTACTAAAACTGATAGTCTGTACAATCGATCCCCACACCAAGGGCTATTTTACTTCATGTAGTAATAAAATCCTGGAAGGAAGAAACGAAGACTCATAATAAAAATTTAAAATAAATTTCTTATTTCTTTATCTTTTGGCTCTCATCAGTCCCTAATGTACAACGATGGGTTGGAATAGTCCTTTGAGACTTAAGGACTACAAATAGCGTGAAACAGGGCAGAGATTCTCATATTTACAAACACAAAAAGTTACCTGATAACTGTCCTTGTTTTCTGGTTCGATGAATTTACATGCGGATAAAGACAGGTCCTGTCTGGGAAGTTGGCGAACCAGTCGCATGCTTCTCGATACTTCTCCCTTAGTTCCTAATCGTGGCACATCATATGATGGCAGAGTCGAATAGAATTGTTCGATCTGCAAAGAAACACTAAATAAACATTCGACAAGAGTCAACTTTTAGAATTTATAGGTAGTATATAAAATACGAAAGTAAATGACGTTTTATTAATTGCCTTACCTGTCTGGCTGATGTAAGTCCTGGAGGAACAAATGCAAAACCTAAGGTTCTAGGCTCCAAACTATCAGCAATGCTGCCGAGTAATCCAAGTCGAGTTTTGGCCCCGTGCTCCACTACCACTTCGTGAGAATCCCTCGTACATTTGCAAGTGGTGCAGTTCTTTCTGTAACAAAATGAAATATTCAGTTGTATGTAAGGATATATAAACAGAAAAGTAAATTTAAAAAAAACAAAACAAATGTAAACCCTCGAAGGTCATATTGACTTCAATATTTGCACATAATTTTTCTTTGCTTTAAAAATATAAGTTTATGAGAATATTCATTAAAGAAACAAAAAACGAGTTAATTACATTTATTGCCACAATACATATGTTCCTCATTCATTATTTTTACAAATTATTCCCAGTAAAGTAATTAAAAGTTGTTAAGAATGTAAAAGGAATCCTTTTTAACCACTGGATATTAACTTTTTTTAATTTTGGAATTGCAAACAAATATTTGTTTTGCAAAATGGCGTTTGTTAGAATCTTATTACTAAATTTCCTATATCATTATGAAGTAAAAGCCCATTTAATTTGATAGTAGATATTGCATGTTAAAAAATGTTTTAAGAACTTACCTAATACATTTTCTAACTCAAAAATGCGAAAATGTTTCAAATTGTTTGGACGCCGTAAACATAGAGATAAAAGAATTAATTATCTCTATGAGCGTAAAACGCTATTTATTTCAAATTGTAGGCTTCCAGTTAGGCAACACACATAACTGTTAAGCTACGCTTAGTATACCTTCCTGGTGTAATAAAATAAAGGATAAAGATTTTATTATCCTTTTAAAAAATCCATAATGAGAACAGATAAAGAGATATACATTTTCAAAATATTTTAAAATATAAATGTCGTTGATTTTAAAATATAAATTTCACTTGAAAAAATATAATATAAGCAATGGAAATCAATAATTTCATTAAAATATGCATTTTCATCTTTTTTCCTGTATAAATGTTAAAAAAAATCACCCAAATTTTTCAATTTCAGATCAAAATAACAATTTTTGTTTTAATTTATTAATTACTTACACATTTAAATGTGGACTTTTCTCAAACAAAATTATAAATAAGAATAGTCCAAATTAAAACATTAATTTTGGTTCGTGGGGGTACTAATAGAAAGACAATTTTTTTTACTGAAATATGTAAACCTTTACAATCAAGTCCAATTTTATGGGCTTTAATGACGTGATATGCCAACTTCAAAACCGTCTATATTTCCTTTGAAAACGTTAAGAAAATCACCGTAGCTCCTGGACGATCAGCCTTTTTCTTTGATGTTCTATTTTTAGTGGTTCCTTTACTATCTTCAAATCATGGCATGAACGAATTGTTATTATTCTGTACTATAACAGAAACCGATGTGACGTAAGGGAAATTTTCGTAAAGGATGTCGAATCACAAAAAAGATAAGCGGAAACAAACGTGAAGTAAAAAATTTAAACAAACAAAATTGCATGTTGTGCTTTTTTAATTAAAACGTATTTTATTTATCCAACTGAGAGAACAAAAAACATATTGTTCGTATTCAGTCACATTGAACTTGAAAATGATCAATTGTGAATACCTTTTTATACATTCGAATTAAATTTTCTACAAATCTACAAATTTCATGTCTTTTTCAAAAACATCCAGGAAGCCGAATAAAAGTGTAATGTACGAATATTATTGACAAACACTTGAAAGTTTGCATGTTTGATTAAAAAACTAGGAGTCTCCAATTTTCAATATCTAGGATATTAAGATAAAAATAAAAAGGTATAGAAACCTAAAAGAAACACACAAAGGTACTTTTCTACGTATATAAAAAAAGCAATTTTGCGTTTCATTAAAGCATTCCATTAAAAACATTTGAAAATTATATTAATTTAATAATGTAACAAATAAATTACTGTTAACTTTATGTGAAAGGTTTTGGGGATCGTATGTATCTATACGAAAAGTTAAACTTTTTTAATAGTGCAAGCACTTCTATCTAAAGAAAAACAAAGGATTTAATAACAAGGTATTGACAATATATTGCCATCTACTGATATTTGATGCCAACTGCAGTATTTCAAAATGTTTTACAAGGGTCTTTTATTTAATAGGCACGTAAACCAAATTAGTAATAAATAAACTTTTTATAACAATTTATTAGACTCCTTGACAATTGCTTTCGCTGTATATAAGTTTCAAATGAAGTTCAAAAAGCAACTGTATACGAAGATAAAAATTGTTAAGGTGGCAATTAAGTTTTGTGAAAAGGTTACATAATTATACGTTTATTTCATTAATTTAATTTGAAGCAATGTAGTATCTCAAATATTTCATTAAACCTATCTAGCAAAGAATGAAATACAGCCAAAACAAGTTAACAAAATATATTAATATGCAAAAATGAGAGCTGATAAAGATGAAAGGTTTTTTGTTGATTACAAACCTACTCTAGAAGAGAACTTTCCCGATGTAGATTTTGTTAAGTTACGCAGAAATCAATTCTAAATAATTCGGCATGTGTAAAATATATTACAATTAAAAAGGAAGAAATAATGATAATTAATTAATAATAATTTTTTTATTATGAAAATACTGTATTTTACAGCTTCGTCAATTCAATTTTTCAATCCTGTCTACCGCGCGACTATTTGGATTGAGACTAGGGTTGCCACCCGTACTTTATTATAAAGTATTGTACTCTATTTCGACTGTGCGTACGTTATACTTTACAAGACACATAAAGTACGTAAAAACATTTTATTTAAGGCCTTAAGTAAACATCGTAATTTTGTAAGCGATTATTCGAAATTCAGAGTATTTTTAAATCAATAATATTGTACAGAAAAAATAGTAAGCCATATTTACGGAACAACCTGATTTCTCAAATCTGTTCAAGGTAGTGTCACTTTTGCTGTTCGTTCCGGCCACTTCAGCATTTACAGAAAGAGTCTTCTCTGTTATGAACGCAAAGTGGCGGGACGATAGGAATAAAGCTTCATTAAAACTAATTAAAAATGAACATTTAGTTTACTTAAATCTTTGTTTGCCATGTTTAGAGGCTATTAATGTATTTAAGAAAGACAGCAATTTGTTACTAGCTGCTAGGTGTAACAAAAAATATGTTTTTAAAAACAAAAAATAAAATATTTTATTTTTATGCCGAGTACTTTTTTTTCAACCTTTTAGTCGAGAAATACTTTATGTAAAGCCTGAAAAGGTGGCAACCTTAATTGAAACCTTAGCTCTCTTTCTTGAAGTGAATGACAGATAGTGTTTTGTAAAATGTCGGCGCCAATTCTAATAAAAATGTAGAACGACAACAAACAACCAAATAATAATTCACGTAATTTGTTTGATGTTCAAACTGAACGAAAGCCTAACACTAACTAACGAGGCAACACCTCACGCCAACGTTTTAATTAAGCAAGCTAGCAAGGCGGTAAAAACAGCCGTAAAAGTGAGTAATCAAGGCTCGTAAATCATTCATCAAATTTGATTTTCTTCTCGTCGAAATGCGAGAAAATTAAACTTACACCTTCAATGGGTTCGAAAACCTGCAAATTTTAAACTGATTGATGGACCAATTTTAAAAACGTTTTCAAACGACTACACTAAAATTTAAAAGTTAACTGAAGCTGAGGTTGTCATATTCGTGGGCCTCAAAAATAGACCAAAAAATGTATAAAATGGTAAAAATGGTTCGTCCAAGGGGAACAACAGAACTCTGAACAGTGTAAGGGCTTACTGCAATGAACAGGGAAAATGGTCAGTTCCTATCTGTTCACATTCGCTTTGCTCTCCCGATTTAGTATCATGTGACTTCTGACTATTCCCAAAATGAAAAGGAAATGTGTTTTGACGCCATTTCTTCTTATTTAGACGGCAGGTGAAGATCAATTTGGAAGAAGCCTTCCATAAATGATTTCGAGTGCATTGCCGGTCAAGGAGAGTAATTTGAAGGAGAATTTAATTTTTATTTGTTAGTATTTTTTGATCGTACTTCGTATATCCATCGTTCTAAATTGTCCTACAGAATCCAGGAAATTAATTCACCAAAGATGAGTAAATTATTCTAAATATAATTTCTTGAAATAACTAAATCAATTTCGTACAATTAAATTTGTTGGCTGAGCACACCGTAAATAATAGACCCCTAAAACACGTTTACAGTCATGTTTCCTGTTGGTCTACCACCAAAAAACAGATTTATAGTTTTCATGTTCAAATAAATCTTACTAGTCATTCATAAATTTCACCGGTCTTAAAATACGCGTCACATGCGGAAAACTAATGGTAAAAATTGGTTGACAAAATCGTTGATGTCACACACAATAAAATTGGTATCGAAATTTACTACATTAACAAATAAAATTAATAACACCATTCTGAGCAAATTTCCGCACACTTCGTTATTTAATATCCAAATTTTACCGAAACTGTAAAAGTTTGTAATATTCTATAGACAGAAAAATTTTTTAAAATTTACCACTGCTTGCACTCTGCAATTCTACTAAAAATTAATTTAAAATCATCAAGCACAGGTTAATACAAACGCACGGGAACAAATACGATTATTGTTAGAGTAGGATATCTAGTATTATAATTGAACAATATTTGGACTAGAGGGCATACAACCTATTTTTTTAACATAAAAATATATCGTTAGGAGAAGATCAAAAACACGTTTTTTTCTTTAAATGCCAGAAACATATTTCCAGAAGTGCCAAATATATCAAAACCATATGTTCATTCCACCTTTTATTTCCGAAACTACCGAAATACGTAAATATTTATAGAAAAGATAGAATGTTTTGTAAAACTTTTGTAGCACGGATTTTTGGAAAACTTAACTTCTCTTATGAATAAATCTGAGAGAAGGTGTTTTAAACAAGCTTTATTTGTAAATAAATAGTTTATAGGTATGTAACCCCTTCGAGCAGCGGCGTATTAATTTAGATTATCGTCCAAAATCTTTTAAAATGTTGCGTCCCTATTTTAAGATATAAAGAATACAGTAGATTTCTATTCTGTTCTATGTTCTATGTAAATAGATAATAAACAAAAAGCTTTTGAATGTTGCACTACGCAATACGCTACTGTCTGCTAGTTTGAGTAATTTTTTGGAGTATTACT